ATGATGAAGTAGATGACTTGGTATGCTTTACATCTGATTGGCTTTCCCACCTTACCTAATACCCAACGGTTGGCCTCGGTAATATTCTGCCGAAACTGTAGGCAAATTTCATTTCTCAGCTAAATCGTCAGATTACTGTACACCTTCGGCATGTTGAAGTTTTGGTGTAGAATTATCATTAGGTAACTATTTTTGTACACAAACTGCAACTTATCAAAGTAATTTTGGAATTCTAAACTTCTCGATTTTCATTGACTTCATGAGTTGTGGTTACGTCATGACACATTGGACAGAGTCTATCTGCGCATTTTTTTAATTTTTGATTTACAGCTTGATTCCACACTGTATTTTCGGTATGAGTATGGAATTTTCAGCATGGATATCGGTAGCCCAAATTTTGCAGGCCGACCATAGATATCAGATGTGCGTCGGTGCGGGCTCGAACCCCGGACCATGTGCATGATCGGCGAGAGTTCTAACCACTGTGCCACCGACACTACCGTGGAGTTTTTTTTTTAAGTCAAATAAGGAGTCACTTGTCAATTATTTTCTTTTAGGTGAAATATTTTTCCAAAGCTATTCAGAATGCGTGAATTCATCCAATAAATTTGTGAAAATGAAAGAATTTCTAGTCCACATTTTGTCTTTCGAAATAGAGTGAAATACTTTCATACCAATGCAGTTTGATGTACGTACCAGTCCCCTATTTTAGTCATAAAATCAGCATCATAATGGTTATGTATATCGTTTTATGCTTACTTCCTTGCTAACGTATATAGGCATCTAAAGTCGAGATGATTGAGGAAAGTATTTGCACTACTGATGAACAACATATTATGTCATCTTCATATGAAGTCATATATATATATATATCAAAATTCAACTAATCAAAGTGATTAGAATTTCAACAGACGATAAACACAATCATCTTTTAAGATATTTTCTGAGTTATGAATATGACATAATATTATCATCGTTCAGGTGGGTGGGTGGCAACCCCGCATGTGGTTCGGGTTCGATCACCGGCCGACGCACTTCTTCGCCTCACCAAACCACTATTAATACTGGTAAGGAGGGAAGGTTGGGTATGGGGCCAGTAACTACATCCCGTAAAAAATAAACACCACTGCTACCAAAACTTCGAGTCTCTAGCTTGAAGCCACCCTATTGTCCACTGGGGACGTAAAGGAATAGAAAAAAATTATCATTGTTCCCTTTGGTTTCGAGTGGAATATATGTATGGCTTCAACAGTACATCTCAACTTCTTTCTATTTTCTGTGGTTCTCTTCACTGACCAAATGACTACCCATAGTCTCTGATCTCTTCCTAACACGATTGCCTAAATGTCACCCTCCGACCAACGTTCAACTCATCGTTCCCCATTCACCTTTCACTCAAGCTATGACCTGATGTGTAATGTCTAGTCATTCTTCATTTCCTTCCGCTCATTTATTGAGCAGTAGGTACTTGATTGATTCCTTCCCAGAGTTTCTTTTTTGCTGACTCTTCCTGGCTAGCCATCTGATTTTTAATATGGAGCTAGCGAAGACTGATGCTGATAGAGGTCTGCAGTGGCTTGTTGGAAATGCTTTCTATGACTCCGGGGCCAAGTTCCTGACCAATGTAGAAGCACTAACTGACTCAACATTGGGTTAACAATCAGATTTTTCGGTTCTTTATTTTGAGTGCAGAAGATTCCCACACTGATTTCAGAGTGATGGAGCTCTGTCTCGCCCTTCGATTCTTGTTTTGATATCGTCATCTGTGCCGCCCCCTATAGTTGAAACGATTTTGTCTAGATAAGTAGAAGAAGTGATCTCTTTTGAATTTATTCCGATGGTGGTGATTGATGTTAGTTGTTGTTAGTTGGTTGGTTGGCTTTCTCCATCACCTACGTTTTCTCTATGTTCTTTTGAAATTCTGTTTTTGCTGGTTCTTCTGCCAGTTTGTTGCTTTCCCCTTGAAGTCTTTGCGTTTGTGTGACGACGCCTAATTTATCAGTTCGCTAGTTTTCTACAGCTGGTTCTAAGCTCGGGAAAGTAAGGAAGGTTAGTTAATGGGTATAACGACCTCAGTCACTGAAGAAACTTTGGATGTAACTCATGAAAATGGACTCTGGGGAATTTATTATTCATCAAATGATTTTTGAGGAACTGAGAAAAGAATAAACAATACGACTAATGTCGTCGTAAACTGATGTCACCTCTTGATGAAATCCTCCATGCAATCAAACAAAATGCTCACAAAACCAATACTTGAAAATCAATATGATGCTGTTTAGCGACTGCTTCTATTCAGACAGTTACCTGGGGTTATAGTAGGAAGCCGTGACCTGTAGGGTACAGCCGGTTGAATGTAAGGCAGTAACCCATCGAAGAAGATATTGCGAAATGGTCGCACTGTGTCGTGAATAGGCAGAAGTTGAAATACATGGGCTGGTCGTTGGACTGGCTATTTCAAGTGGTTCAGTGGTCTAAGAGCTAGGTCAACTGGTAACCAGAAGGTCGTGGGTTTGAACCTCGGTGGGTGAATACTGCTTAAGTGTCCCAAACTAGACAGACGAAGCTGTTGTCTGGCAGTACTCCCAGGTGGTTTTTCCATGGTTCTGTAACTGATGTCAGCTCATGATGAAATCCTCTATCCAAGCAAACAAAATCCTTACAAAACTAATACTTCGAAATACGACTTTAGATGAAATAAAATGTGTGTTCAGCGATTACTTGCAGTGTAACTTACAGCTGATGTTTTGAAACTGATTCACTAGAAACACTGCTGTTCCCATAAGTAACATTGTTCCTGCTGAGATCTTAATTTAACGATGAATGTTTAAAACTTCAAAATGTTATCGAACACCCTAATTAGATGCAACTATCAAAAGAAACCAAAATATAAAAAATCCCTGTAACGTAGCAACTGACGTACATAGATGAAATTAACTTAATTAGATCTGAACAAATGGTTTTAAGAAAGTAGTATATTGTAAACTTAAAAAACACTCAGTACTTCACATTTTCATTAATTCACCATATTAAAATTGCCTATTCAGCATTAAAAACTACAAAAACTACCATTAGTTTTACCTCTAGGGACTTGATTTTTAATCCTCTGGAACACCTATCAGTGTGACTAATTAAAGTTGTTTTTAAAAAATTTCAACAGCTCTGTATTGGATCACCCCTTTGGAAACAAGCCACAAAGCTAGCAGCATTGAAGGGTCTCCTTCTGTCATCTATATGGGGTCGAATAAATTATCAAAGGCCTGCAGATAACAGACACTTCAAACGCCAGAAACCATTATGATTCTTTTGAATCAACTTGAGATTTGAGTGCAAAAGAAGCAGGTCCAGACACTATTGCTACCCTGCCTGTTGTCGAATTTATGAATCCATAAATTTTATGTTACTTCCTTTAGTTTATCTGACATTCAGTCAGTTTAGTGTTCTATGAATGCATTCCATCTCTCTATTACTGTAGCTTTACAAGTGTAATCTGTCAGTACTATTGATTTAGTGTAATTTAAGACAGCAATAATGTTCACAGTTATAGGATTTCGTCATGAGCTGACATGGGTTGGAGAACCATTGAAAAACCTGCAGGGACTCTACATCAGCACGCGCCGACAGCCAGGGTTCGAACCCAGCACCTTCTGGTTACAAGGCGAGCTAGCTCGTAGACCATTAGGCCACTGGGCCCCGATCCAAACGCCCAGAAATTCTAACTTCTTCCAGTTCACGATATGGAGTGACCACTGACCAATGTGACCGACGAGTATTTTTCCTCACGTCCAACCTACTACACCCTACTGGTCACGAATTCCCACTAGAATCTAGGTAACTACCTACTTGAAATAGAGTCAGTCCCTAGTGAGCATCTCATTAATATTCAAGTATCTTTAGAAACCAATACTTGAATAATGTTGTTAATGACAACATTTCTCTAATTATTGGACAGAATAGTTTTTGTTCATTAATCAGTTCCTTATAATAGTTTTCACAGCTTCGTTCCTATAAAGTACAAAGAAATTTAATGAAGACTGTCAGCCAAAGAGTTAGAGCTTTATGCTCAGAAGAAGTAATTGAAGATGAATTAAGCATTTTATATGGTACTTTGATCGAAAAAAGCTATCCCGAAAAAAATTTATCAAGAAACACATGACAAAGAAAGCGAAAAAGGACTACTCACTATCGTAAACAAGAAGCCACTTTATATACGACTAAAATTCAAGGGCGATATACCAAGTGAGATAATTACGAGGAAATTAAGAAAATCAGTTCAAAGAACTTTTAATGCTGGCGAACTACACGTATTATTCTCTACACGACTGATGGTGCTACCTCAACTGAAAGATGAAGTACCTAGACTAGCCACTTCTAATTGTATCTACCAATTCAACTGCGCTGCTTGTGGAGCGCCATTGCTCTCGGAACTTGATTTTTCGTGTAAATGTGTAGTGAAAACCATCAACAGTTCGATATTGGACCACCTGGTGCAAACCAGCCGGCCACAAAGCCAGCCAGCATTGAAGAATCCTTCTCTATCTATCTACCGGGTGCCTAATAAATTGCCAAAATCATCGAAGCACCGCATACTGCAAACAGCAGAGGCTATTGCGATTCGCCTCAAACAACCAGTGCTCTGTATTCAAAAGAAGCGAGTTAAGCCCCTACTACTGCCCTGGCTGACCTTCACTAGAGACTATAAATTCATGAATTTGTAATATTATCATTCCTAATTTTTCTGACATTCAGCTTATTTCATGTTGATGCTATTGAGCTGTAATCTATCAACATTATTGATTCGATGTTATTTAAACAACACTAATGTTGTCCATGACACTTATTCATTCATTCACCATAATGTATATATAACTGTAGAGCCTGATGATGAATTTATAGAAAAGAGTACTCTTGGTTCAGTATACATTTTTTTGAAAAATTTTAATGGGCATTTTTCATCACTTTTAAAATAGTTTTACTTCAAAAAGTAAAGAAGAACTCACCTGAGCTAATGCACTTTTACTGTCTGTATTAAAAAATGCTGCTAAACGAGATTGTGCAATGTATACACGAGATTTTTGTAAATATGAAGAAAGTTTTATGAAAAATTGTTTATTTTTTAATTTATCTAACTGTGAATTCCATTTTCTATTGAATCCTTTATTCGTTTCATTCGAAATATTATTCATAACTTGTTTGTCATCTTTACACATCTCCTTGTTCAGATTAATTTTGTTCTCATTTGTATCAGTCAAGCTCAGATTATGGTTATCATTAGGTATATTTGATGTTGTATTAACAGTGAAGGGTTGCAGGAGAACACGTTTACGCCGACGTCCGTGTGTAGCATGTGTTGGATTGACTGACGGGTCATTATCAACTGGTAAAGCAGATTCATTCAATTGTTCCATACGCGTTTTATCATTTTTCAAGCTGAATATTGATGCAGAACAAAATCGATCACAACTTGTTCTACACGTACGTGAATAGATGACACGAAATACATCAGCTAAATAATCACCAATATTTGATAGATATAAGAACATTAATGGAATTCCAATTAATGCATATAGGATTGTCATAAGTTTACCTGTATCTGTTTTTGGGGTAGCATGTCCGTAACCTGAAATACAAAACCAAAGTATATATACATATATATGTATAGAGTAGAAATTATCATAGTGTTGTATAATGAAAACAAACTTTAGGGGAGTAACAACACTTTTGAGATAAGAGATCGATTTTCATAAAGGAAATGATAGCATTTATAACACTTAACTTTATCCTCTAAATATATATGTAAAACTTGGGCACTATGGTAGTATGTAATTTCATGTTAATTTGTTTATTAGATATATCAAATAGTCAGGGAAACAGTATATTATTTACTGGATGACAAAGTTTCGAATACAATTTATTGTTCATAATTATATCCTCATCAGTTATAACCACACAACTTTGAAATTTGAGTTTTATAGTTTTCTTTATTCTTTCCTGTTTGTCGTCGTAGGGGTAGTAGAATTTTCCAGATGTTCAGGTGTTGAATCATTCCTATTACACGTGTTTGTAGTTGATTTGATAAACAAAGCTTCCGTTATGAAATATCAGTAGTACTTTCATACAAAGAAGAAACCTCTTAAACTATACGGAGAATTATTAACAATGCTGGAATAAATGGGCCATTCAAAACCACAAGCTTAATTAGAAACGAACTTCGTCGGTTAAAGGATCGAGCCTGTGGAGCCTTTAAAACAAAACGATTTAGTTTATCTAATACCCTGCAATGATTGTCAGTGAAGTCAAATATACAGGTCAAATTAGTAGAACGAGGTCAGTCAGACCAGTGAGCAAAAACTCCTGGATAAATCTAGATTAATTAACCCTAATGCGTTAAGAGATCTGGAGGATAGTTCAGCTATACCACTCACTATATGCAATTACATACAACCATACAATAGGGTGGGATAAGATGAGAATTTTAAAATCTAATGTCACAGGGTGGGAGGCGAGATTGATAACAGAAGCCTTATTTGATGGTATTAGGTGGTTGGAGGCAATTGGCAAGAAGTCTTGGACCTAGGTTTCGTGCTAGTCGGCACTCGTCAGCAAGGTGTCAAATCAAAAAAGAAGCCTTATTTGTCGAATCAACTGCAAACACATGGAATAAGAATGATTCAACACCTGTTCAATCGTCATCCACACGTCATCCAGTAAATAATAATGCTGTTTTATTACTGTGTGGTATATCTAATAAAAAACTAATATGGAAGTAACTTTATCCTTTGCTGTTTTAAACCTGGGCTGACAAAATGCTCCATCAATGCATTGCACATGATACCTCATGTTCAGTTTGTTTTTAATCTTTTAAAATATGAATTCCATTGGTGCTTTTCTACTCTCACGAGTATTTAAAATGTCTACAACCCTGCTGTATTTATTCGCAAGTTTCTACTAAACTTGAAAAAAAAATGCAAAATGGTGGACGACAACGTACTGCAATATATGGGATAACTGTTCTGAGGTTTTAAATACTGTTTGAGAAATATAACTGCTTGACTGCAGTCTTCACTTATTCAGCTTTATTGTCATGATATCCTTAGGTGAGAAAATGAACTCTGGCACCTTTTTTTGTAATTGGCTTTCAAGTAACTGTTATGCATTCTTCGAAAGAAAAGGCAAAGTAGAAATAGCATAAAGGGGGAATGGTTTCCGCTTTAGGTTAGGAGACAGAAGTATGTCATGTGATTTATTATCGCAGTTATTAGTTTACTTGAAAATGCCGAGGAAAAAGAAACTGATATACCATAATTTCTGCCGAAAATTCTCTACATTAAACAAACACTTCAGAATGAAGCTATTATTATTATTATTAATTATGGCTGGATAAACAATCCGTAGAGATGACGACCACAGTGGTAATACTATAACACTAAGTGGGATTCTTACTCGATTACATTTATCAATAGAAGACTCACATTTTGATGACTTCTGAGTAAATTGATATGTAATTTAATGCAGGTGAAGTGAAATAAGTCTAAACCAACTAGTTTTCAATTCTTGAGTAACCCTCATCAATAAATTAATGAAAACAAAGGATGTAGTTCAACAAAAAGACTCTTTTTTTAATGAATTCAATTTCTTCATCTATACAATCCCATTGATGAGTAACATAGGGTTTCAGCTGCTCACCTCCATTGCCTTCGGTTTTCTGACAACTTTTTCACCCCGCTCCAGGTCTGTCCACATGCTTTCATCTCCTCCTCGCATGACCTCCTCCAAGTCACCCTTGGACGACCAACTCGCCGCCTCCCTTCCAGTTTCCACTCGACGGCTTGTATAGTGATGTCACTTGATGGTTTCCTCAGAGTATGGCCAATCCATCTCCATTTCTTCCTGCCTATTTGTTTCACAATCGGTTCCTGTTGGGTTGGTTCGCTCATTGCCAGAGATCCCTGTTGCTGATCTCTTCTGGCCGGCCATCTGATCTTGAGTACTGAGCAAAGACAGCTGTTAATGAAGGTCTGAAGTTTGTTTGAGATGCTCTTTATGACTCGCCAAGTCTCTAATCCGTATAGTAGCACTGACTTCACATTGGAGTTGAAAATCCGGATCTTGTTTTTCACGCTGAGTGCTGTTGACCTCCACACAGATTTGAGAGTAATGAAAGCTTGTCTTGCTTTTCCGATTCTGGCTTTGATATCCTCGTCAGTTCCGCCTGTAGTTGAGACGATGCTTCCCACGTAGGTGAAGGAGGCTGTTTCTTTCAGGTTCTTCTCACTTATGCTGATTGTTGTCTGTTAATGTTGTTGTTGCTGTTGATGTTGGCTAGGAATCTTCATCATCTCTGTTTTATCTATGTTCACGTGAAGTCCTATCTTTGATGCTTCTTCTGCCAACTTGTTACTTTTCACTTGCATTTTATCCAGTTTGTGGGAAATCAGACATATATCATCGGTGAAATCCAGATCCTCCAAGTCAGTCCAGTCAGTCAGTGTCAGTCCATTTTATGCCTGTTCCCTCGTTGGTTGCCGTTGTCTGTCGCATTATCCAATCAATTGCAATCAGGAAGATCATTGGTGATGGTAGATAGCCTTGTCGCACTCCCGTCCTCACTTTGAAGGCTTCCGTAAGTTTCCCGTTGTGGATTACTTGGCATGCAGCATTGTCGTATAGCTGTTGGATGAGAAGTATAATTGTCAATGGGACCCGTTAGTAGCGAAGTAGTTGCCAAATGACCTCTCGATCGACGCTGTCGAAGGCCTTTTCGAAGTCGATGAAGTTGAGATAGAGAGGTGACTGCCATTCCAAGCTTTGTTCAATGATGATCCGTAGAGTGGCGATTTGATCAATACATGATTTGTTTCTCCTGAATCCGGCCTGTTCTGGGCGAAGTTTTTCATCTAGGGCTTGTTCGATTCTCTCTAGGATGATGCAACTTAGTATCTTGCTTGGAATGGACAGAAGCATAATTCCTTTTGGAGGCAATCAGCTTGACTGATGCAATTCAGTCTGCACCGAAGATAGGACTAGACACATTACACTAGTTACTGACTAGCGTGCAATCAAAAATATCCAATACAGTCCTACAGGAGGTCGATCGCGAGCCTGAATAGCTCAGTGGTAACGTCTCTGACTGCAGTACTCACTGGATGATGCGGGTTTGAATTTCAGAAGGGACATGAATTCCTTCAAGGTTGCAGATACACCTTGCTGACGAGTTCCAACTACCATGAATCCTAGGTCCAAGCTTCCTACCGACTGCCTCCAACCATCGAATAGGAACAAAAAGTATACCTGATTCCACAAAAACCTCTTCGGTGAACTAAGTAATCCACATTTTATTTTCAACAAACCAACTGTGTTATCGAATGTGAAATCATGAAGGGCTAAAGTTTGAATTTTATGGGAGGAAGTGTGAACAGATTCTTTTGATGAAATAGTAAAGAAAAGTCAACAAGTGGCCAGTCAAAACAGTTCACATGTATATATACAAAATAAACCTGTATATTTTCGTCGTATGATGAGGATTTCACCACAGATTGATATCAGTTAGAGAACCACTGAAAACCAGCACTGGAATACTGGAGAGCTGTTTCATCCTAGTCTGAGAATCCTCGACAGTACGCACTCACCATCAACGTTCGAACTCAGGATTTTTCGGTTACAAGGCAAGCTCCTATACCATTCAGCCACTGGGAACCGATTCAGTGGCCAGCATATGAATTCTAACTTCTACCGATTATGATATAGCGCGACCAACAAACAACATCATCGGTGAGAAATCTATCCTCACATCCCGCTTGGATGTACCTCACTAGAACTCCAGGCAACTCCGTCCGGTAGCAATTCACTAGCGAGCATCAGATTAGTTTTCGAGAGAAGTAGTGACCAGTGAGGTCGATCCAGTCAAGTGTGAGGATAGATGTCTCACTGAGGACATTGATTGGTGGTCGCGCTATATAACGAATCGTTAGGAGTTAGAATTCATAAGCTAATCACTGAATCGGGTCCCAGTGGCTTAGTGGTATAGGAGCTTGCCTTTTAACCGAAATGTTCTGGGTTAGAACCCTGGTGGTGGGTGCACACTGGAGAGGATTTTCAAACTAGGATGAAACAGCTGTCCAGTACCCCACCACTGCTGGTTTCCATTAGTTCTCTAACTGATATCAATCTGTGAGAAAACTCACCAAAAAAATAAATATAATCCTTACAAACCATCTTTTGACAATATGGCGAGGATGTTTAAATACTCAGTTGTTTATATGTCTACAGAAAATAAAAATTAAGATGATATCTTTGATTTTCACCTGCAATAACAGTTTTATGTATATTTCCGTGAGTAAAACGCAGAACTTGTAGAAACCTGATGAATGTTTAAAGTGATTTGACGATAAGAAAACTAATGGGAAGCAGTCTATTAGTTATAATAAATATTGACAAATTCATTTAAATCTCAAACGTTTTGTCTTTAAACTGTTTATAAAATCTTCATTATTCAGCACACAGTGAACAATGAACATTTCTTTTGATAAATTCAACAGGTTCTACAACTTTGTTTTATCGAATATTACTGAAAAAAACAATTGCTTTTTAAAGACATACTTTTATAAGGATCAGAAACTT